GTACTAGAGAGTGATAATGATTCTGAAAATAGAAGCGAGTTGGTCATTCCAAAAGCCGAAGTAATTCTTCAGTAACACGACAATTCCTCAGGAGGACATCTTGGTGTTGAGAAAATATTTCAGTGTTCGTAAAAAGTTTTATTGGATGAACAGTTCCGATGATGTAAAAGACTGGTGTAAGAAATATACCACCTGTGCAATAAGTAATGTATCCAAACAAAAAAGAAGGCGCCCATGAAGCAGTACTGCGTAGCCCATTTGAGAGGATTGACTTAGATATACCTGGACCATTCCTCATAACCGAGGATGGTAATAAATATATGATGGTGTTTATGGATTATTTTAAGTGGGTGGACTGTTGCAGACGTATTGATAAATGAATTTATCAGTGCCCTTGGAGATCCACAGTGACCAAAACAGAAATTTTAAAAGCCAGCTTTTCCGAGTAATAAGTGACAGACTAGCATGAAGAAAACCAGAACTAAGGCATTACAGCAACAGTCTGATAGAATGATAGAGCAAATAAATAAGATCATTGGCAAATACCTGTCAAAAGTGGTTTCCAACCATCAGCGAGATTGGGCTCTGTATCTTTTGCTCTTCGCAATAGCATACAGATCCGCTATTATTGAATAAACAAGCCAACCACCAGCAAAAGTCCTGTTTGGGCGTGAAATGAGACTACTATGCGACCTCAAGTTTGGATGCACACCTGGAGAAGACATAGCCGGTGAAGATTATGTGATCCAGCTACAAAATCATGCATGAGTTAGTTCGTCCGCATCTTCAAATCGACAGCGACAGAATAAAGAAGCAATAAGATACCCAAGTCACAGATGGATGTTTCAAGGAAAGCGATAAAGTCTGGCTCCATAACACAAAAAGACATAAGGGTTATTCTCCGAAGCTTCAAAGGTCTTGGGAAGGTCCGTACCTGATCAGAAAAAAAATAAATTATGTCATTTACCCTATGAGTAAGATCCCGAACGATAAACCGAAGGTAGTGCACCAAAACCAGCTGGCCTCATTTAAAGGTGACCATAACAAGAAAGACGTTATTTTAGGGTGATTATGAAAAGGAAGTTAAAGTAAACCAGCTCCAAGAATTTATGGGTGCATATGGAGGAAACGGAAAAGCAAGATATTGTGTTACAACCAAGCAACAACTTCTCATGGTTCCAAAAGACTACTTGCTGGTCCATAGCTTTTCCGCCAACATCAACGACGCTAAATTGAAGGTTCATTAGAAACATGGTGGAAGTAATCTTTCAACATACTGAGATTCAAATACTGGTCTGCAGCTACTAGTCTAGTGACCAGGTTTCAGTGTTATTTTGCAATAATACCCTGACACTTTGCCCACCATTTTGTAATATTATTCGTTACCTTTTTGATAAATGTAATTTCAAAACACTTATAGAGATTTTTACTAGATCAGTTAAATTTAATAGTAAATGTTACTTACCTTAAAAATTAAAAAAAATAAATGAGCACATTGACCTTTTCTCTGTCGTGAATTCGGCTTTTCAAATAGACAATTTTAGGGTAATAATTTTTCTAGGTAATGTTGGGCACCATTAATTCTCTTTTTTTAGTTTTAAAAGCTAGTGAGAATTATAAACTCTAGCTTTATTAATAAAAAGAAGTTAATAAAAACTTATACAGAATTTAGTGTGAATAAAAGAGAATTTTTGTAACCTTTAAAAAATAACATTCAACATATATACTTATAAAAATTAACGATTTTATTCAGATAACAAGAAACCGTTCAGAAAACAAATTATTTACAATTTATCAGGTATCAATTGTGATTCGGTCATAAATAATTTTAGTCACTAGTAATTACCACATTTTTTTCTTTTTTGCTAGCCACTTCATTTGTAGATAGTTGAGATTTCTGCCCCTCTGGAACCAACGCCTATGTCGATTAATCTTTCTTCCTAGTATCTTCGAGTTGTAACTGTCGCTTTTCCCATTAACTCAGCTCGATCAATTTACAATGTGTAGATTACTGCGTGTAGGTTATAGCTTGAGGGTTACAGCGTGTGGCTTACTGCGTGTGGTTTACAGCGGTTGAGTTATGGCGGTTGAGTTATGGCTGATTTCATTCGTTTTCTAGACAAAAATAGATTTTGTTTTTCACGTGGCTCTGTACGATATATAAATTTGAAACATCTACTTTAAAAAAAAAATGAACCAATAGATAATAAAAACTAGTGACTATACATATTGTGCCGTTCTAGCAACCAGAATGAATCATAAAAACATATTTAACTTTACTATTAAAAAAACTAATAATTTACAAAAGGTTTGAATAGTATTTCTACTGAGATATTTAATAAAGACATTATACTTTTTATGCTTACCACTATAACAGCCAAAACACCACCAGATACGAGCAGAAGGTAATAATAAAATGAAATTTAAATTTCTAATGCGAGATCGTTTGGTTAGTGGTACTCCCACTTCAAGAAATTGCCCTTTCTTTAGAATAGTGTGTAAAAAATTGAGTATGTGCTCATTGAGTTAGTACTGGGTCTTCAACAATACCCGAAACCCACGTGACTAAATCGTCATGACAGCTGTTGTTGAAAATAAAAGTAAAAATCCCTTGATGTGAGCCAGTGTCGTAGGTATTTTATTACTAATTAGATGAGCTTCTTTTTTTATGATCTGCAACTATCGGAACAAAATTCAGTTAGGTAACTTAGAATTACAACAAAAAAATCATATTATTAATCAGAGGTTCTTTACATTATTGTATTTTGATGTTAGAATTCGATATTTTAATTAGATTTATTTAAATGAAAAAATCTCATTTTTAAAATTATAATATAATTGACATAACCTTACAAACTGAGCTATTTATTAGTTTATATTTAACGAAAACAATAATAAACTGAAATTACGAAATATGGTTCGTACTAGTTATTGCAAAAAAAACCTTTACCAGAACAGGCCGCAAAAAAGTTATGGACAAAAAATGTTATGCATTAAAATATGAATAAAATAAAAAATTATTTTTTTTAGATTGACTATAAGATATTCAGCTATGGCTAAAACTTTAAATACAATAGGCAGACGAGAATGGTAGTATTATAGCTTAAAACAAATTTAAAACATACTGGAATTGTACCTGGGCAATGGGAAGTAATAAACAAATAATGTTTTAAGTTTGTGTTCTATTGTTTATTTGTTACAGGGTTTAAACCATTTACGAAATACATTATATTACTTATATGTTAACAAAAAAATAATATTAATATTAATGTAACAAGCACATATTTTTTTACCTCACATTTCTCACTTCTCACTGTAAATTATATTAACAACTATTTTATTTAAAAGGATGTTGAATGATAATCGGTGGTGGACAAACGATACTAATTCACAGTATGTCGCTGGTTCTCCAGAATAGTGACACATTTTCGAAAATACCGATTTGGGGATTATTCAAAAATTTATAATAAAAATACATATATTTTATCAGGAACAAGGTCTTATAACGTTATTTCAAAGTCCGCCAGGTAGATGGCGATAATGTCATTATTTATAAACGGATTTGCATGAGTTTGGTGAATTCTTAGCATAAATATTAGAAATAGTGGCACAAAATAAAAAGTGACACTTTTTTTGCTAAAGTAAGTATATTTTTATTATTAAACTTACTAGAAGAATGTCATATTATAAAATGTGCCATTATTCTTGTTACAAAAATTATGTTGATTATCTTTTTAATATGAGAATTAACGACCTTTGTGTAATAATGTGACTATTCCTTAAAAATATAAAACAATTTACGGTTATATTTTGAAATGTGCCATTCTTCTTGAAAAAAATATTATGTTTTTGTAATTTTTAAAAAATTCTAATTCAAAAATCTTTGTGCGTTTTAAAAAATTACTCGTTGATGCGTATACTTGAATTAAATTTAATAATAATAAATTTTCCTTTTTTGTTATAAATTTTATTTTTTTGGCAAAGATGGAACATTCTAGAGCTAAATTGATGTTAGAATTGGCTAGGGGAACCTATGGGATGATTTTTTAATATTTATGTACGGACCGTTTATTTAACAATTTTATTTATTATCTTGTAGCTATAGAAAAACCAAGTGGTTCTAAAAATATTCAGGCCACTATAGTAATTAACAGTGAAGTTCCTAAAAATGATATCAATAAAGTTAAAGGTATATACTGATTATCTTATGCAAAGAAAGCAAAATCTATAAAAAAGATTAAAGAACAATCGCTGCTAGTAGCAGACAAACATAGAATATTGAACATTATAAATATTTTTTTAGAGATAGAATCTCCTATTACTGAGGAACCTTTTGAGGCGGACATAATTCCTGAAAGTAGCCATGTCGTTAGTCTTTCATTTGAAGGTAAGTCAAAACATGTGTACCCAATACTTGTTTACATGGAGTAATTCTATCAACAGAACTATCCAACTATAAGCAAACTGATGAAGCAGATTTATGTTATAGAAATATTCCACCCAACACAAGTATTGAGGATAATAATGTCATTCTGATGAAAGGTAAATGCATTTTCTACATTGTTGTTGATTTATATAGATTGTAGCAGTGATAGCAAATAACGTTTTTGTTGTAGTAATGAACAGTACAATGGCTCAGCAATCTCAGCATGGAAACGAATTGCCCAGGGAGATTGAAAATGAGGCAAACACTGATTTCTCTTCTTTTGATAGTGTAAAAGATCATCATCATTTTCTTCGAATACTTCGTCTGAATGATCAACATCATCATCCAATTCAAATAGAGAAAATAAAGAACAAGTTGGCAATATACCACCAAATGAAACAGAAATTAAAAAAAGAGGGCGAAAAAGGAAAGCCGATCCTTTGAGTGCAATTAAGGAAAAAGCAAAGCGTTTAAGAAACTCTGGGTTAGCTTACTTATCAAACTCAAAAAAAAATTAAGCTATGATTCCTGAAAGAAAAATGGGTTCTCCTTGCACTGAAAAGTCCAAACAGAAATGCTTTTCAAATATTACTCACGATCAGCGAATGGGCATTTTCACAGCTTACTGGAAGCTAGGAGATCTGCAAAGACAACGTGAGTTTCTTTCATCCAATATATTAACAGTTAAACCTTAATACCAGTACAGACATGCCCCTGATTGGTCAAGAAAAAATGCATTTTATTTTTTGGTTGAAAAGAGAAGAATTCGAGTATGCAAACCTTTTTTAGATCAACTTTAGGTATCACTGATCGTCCAATAAGAACTATGTTATATAAAAGAAGAGATTCCCCTGGAGGAATACTTCAAAGAGGTAAGCACGGGAATCATAAAAAAGTTGATACTTTGATTAAAACTGATATCCGTCAACATATTAAATCAATACCTTAAATTAAAAGCCATTATTGTAGGGCGGACACCACCAAGGATTATATTGATGGCGGAAAAAGTGTTGCCGATCTACACAGAGATTATGTTGCTAATTGTAAAGCAAGAAATGTTTTATATGGCAACTACGTTTTATATCATCGAATTTTTACTTCTGAATATAACATCAACTTCTTTCAGCCAAAAAAAGACCAGTGCGAGGATTGCACTGCATCCGAAGAAGAAAATGCCATACTTAAACAAAAATATGAAGAACACCAAGAAGAGAAAAAGCACGATAAGAATAATACCGATTATACCTGCGTTGTTGCCATGTATGATTTACAAGGGACCTTGCCTTGTCCCCGGGGAGAAGTATCAAACTTCTATTATGTATCTAACAATAAATTAAATACTATCAATTTTACTGTATATGACATAAAAATCAAACGATGTAGTGTTTCATCCGGCATGAAGGTCAAGGAATGCGCGGTATCAATGAGATTGGTTCCTGTTTATTCAAATACCTAGAAAGCCTTCAGGAAAAAGTACAAGATGGTATAAAAATAGACGTGATATACGATTCCGATAACTGTTGCGGGCAACAGAAAAATCATTACATGATTGCTTTGTATTTATACTCGATTTCTAAACTCAACTTTTTATATTCTATTACTCACAAATTTTTAATAAAAGGGCATACGCAAAACGAAGGCGATAGCGCCCACTCAAATAGAAATACGTATAAAAAGATCACTAAAATCTATATTTACACCAGATCAGTATGTTAACCTAATTAGAATTGCTGAAATCAATAAATCCTACAAATTACACGAACTAACTTTTAAATCGTTTTATGATCTAAAATCGCTGGCTTCTGAAATGGGAAATAATTTTTCAAAAAACGCAGAAAATGAAAATTTTAAATTAACTGAAGCTAAAATTCTACAAGTTCGAAGTAGCTCAGCTGGTGCATTTTTCTATAAAATCTCCTATAAACATGAAGATTTTCAAAAATTTTAAATAGTAAAAATCCCTACAAGAAGTAGCAAAAACATAAAATTATGTTCAAATTCAAATATCAATGTGATCCTTAAAAAAGCTTATAGCAGAAACTGTCAATTTCCGAGAAAAAGAAAAGTGGATTACTCGGTTTGGTAAAAAAAAAACATTATTCCCAAATTTTGTGAAGGTTTTTATTCAAATTTGTAACTGGTGTTTCTGTTATAATCATTCAGGATTGTATTCTTAACAGTAGAGTCCCAGTATAAAGAACCATACAGTAGCGACAGATTGCGTCGGCTTCTTTGATGTCGGGGTGGTCAGATTTTCAATGACAGTTGACGTTTTTGTCGCTTATTTCTACACGGAGAAAAGTAAACTCTAAAATTGCAAATTAGCGATGTACACTTAGAAAGAAATTAAAACATGTACATATAACATTTTAATATATTCTAGGCAAATAAATTAATCAAAATATTGTGTAACTTAAATAAATGAGTTCCGTTGAAAATCTAGATGTGCCAATTTTAAAATTTTATCATTAGATTAAAATAAATTACTTTTGTATGCCATTCATTGTATGAAATGTGTTAAACATTTTTTGGTTTCTTCCTGGCACTAATAAATTAACTCAGCACCTTATTTTTTTTATTTAAAATGAGGTTATGTAGGTATCTTTTTAGAAGTGAAACAACATATAACAATAATATTTATTAAAACACACAATTACAAATTAGTAAGTTTTTAATGAATTTACAATACAAGAATTATTTTATTTCAATTTTTGTTCCTACGTACAAATTTTTGACTTCAGAGGAGTTTTAGCAAATGCCTGTTGTAAGTCACCCGTTAAGCACAATGCTGCCCAATTGCTTATATTACCTATGTATATAATTAAATACTATTAACGTCACATCATAAAAATTAGATGTTTATATTTAACGATTTTATGGTTTAAAATTTGTATGGGAAAGGTTATCTGCTGCGGGATTTAAATATTTAATGGCTAGAAGAATCAACAGTGACTGTCTAGAAAAATTTGTTGGGTCCATTAGGCAACAGGGTGGGAATTTAATTAATCCAACACCTGTACAATTCGAAAGGGCATTTAAAAAACTTTTTTGTCAAAATTATCTTCATTGCAATTCCATGAATTGTAATGAAGACCTGGACAAGCACTTGCTACAATTAGATGTAAAAAATATTGTCTCTCTGTATCCTGAAATAAATAAAAACACTTGAGAAGTTGTTTTTCTTCCTAATTACAGCTACAGGACAGAAGATATAATAGTTCAAAATCCAGTTAAATATGTTTGTGGCTATTTGATCAAAAAAGCTTTAGGCATACATGGATGTGATACATTTATTAAATTTTCAAAAGAATGTGAAGATTTGGATAGTTCATAGATTTTAACATATGATTGCAAATAAAGCACTTATGGAGGCCTAAAAACTCCAAATGAAAAGTTTATTATCTATATATTTAAATTATAAAAAAATGTTATATCTATTTTTAGCAATACCTGTGTAATGTCTGGTATATCGCATAGCTTTTTTTGATATTATGAAAGAAATAGAATTTAAACATCCTTGTCCTAATTTCCCTAACGTATATATCATACAACTGTTTATAAGATTATATATATTATTGTTTAAGTGCTTAAATATTGTATAAATGAAACAAATCAAAAATTAAAAAAAAGTTAAAATAATAACACCACAAAATACATTTTTTTGTTTTCTTTTTGCTACTTTACAAGAAATACATATATATATTTTGATTAGATGTAGTCAATCAGAACATTTTTAATCAATGGACATAGTGAATCAAAGAACATCTAATTCATTATAATAATTTGGAGGTAGGATTTTTGATTAAGAATGTCCAAAGGTTGCACATGGTACGCTTTCAAAAATGTCTTTCATGTTCAATGATAGTCTCAACAGAGGAAGCACTTGGTCGATGTACTAGGGAGAAGATAGACATTTGGCTGATGACCTAGATGGATAAAAAATGTGGGAACAGCAGTAGGCAATAAACGTTTACGGTTCAACGTTTTAGAAAAACAATTCTTCTCAAAATGTTTCTCACACAACCTGTAATTCCGATGAAGACTGTTCACATCTATGTTACTCAAATCTTCCCTATTACAAGCTCTTAACCACATGTTGTCCCTAAAATATAAAAAAGTTGATAACAAATGTTTAGATTGACGGTAGTTCAGAAATTATATATTTTTTACATTATTTTTGTTGAAATTGTAAAAATTGTCCTCAAGACATTTAAATATTTGGTTGTCAAATAAATATTTGGTTTTCAAATATAAAAATTGAAAGTATTTTCTTAAGACATACCTTTCTGGCTCCATGGGAAATGCAAAATAACTTGTCCCTTTGTCTGTTTACTCTGTTTGAGATGGACAAGGGCGATAGACACATCTCTTTCTTTTCTGATCAGGTGCAGAAGCCATTTCAAAAATATCACACAATAAATGAAAAACTAAAATAATAAAAATGTCTCAAAAGATGCACTGCAAACAAACAAAAATAATGACATATTTACATCGCATTGACACTATTGACGTTGACGTTTTTGTCGCTTATTTTCGGACATGCGCAGAAAAATATGGACCCCTCATAAAAAATGATCTGTCGCTACTGTATTGGTCTTTATACTGGGGTAGAGTACCGTCAAACTTCGGACTTCGGACACTTTTTGCAACTTTCTTAATCACAAACTAAAAACCAAGAGAACTAAAATTCTGCAAATTTCGGGTAAGATGCCACTAACATCTAGTTACATTTTGACAATGTCAAATGTTTCTACTTTTTTTCCAGTTATTATATTTTTTTTATTAAAAACTGTCCGAAGTCATCCCATCGAGTGGGGTGACTTCGGACGGCCATTTAAAACTACGTAAAACCGATGTTTAACGGTTGCAGGGGTTAATTCGGACAAACATTTTCCTTTTTTAATCGTCTACACTATAGACCGGGAGGTAACGACAGAAATTTTCGGGTCATTTTCGCAAGTTTAAATTTTTTTATATGAGTTATGCAAGTAATATGTAACTCTAATATGAACGTCTTCCGACGCACCCGTACGACAGGGGGTTGCAGGAGGGTTGCAACTACAGTAAAAAAATTATAAAAAAAAATCATTTTCGCATGCATGAAACTTTTTGTACAAGTTAATTTAAAGAAATAAAATTTAGAAAATATCGTCTTCCACCTGGATTTCACGACAAAATACGTCTTCCACCTACCTAAATAAGCAAAAAAAAAATGAAAAAAAAATTATATTCGCAAAGCTGAAATTAAGTGTGATGCTAATTTTTATAATAAGAAAGCTAAAAATAATAGTCTTCCATCCATACAATACAACAAAAGTCGTCTTCCAAGCTGATAAAGGTGCGCGTCACATACGGCACGTGCTAGTTATAAATTCCAAAACGGAACTTTTATTTTTAAAAATTTTATTAAGCAAAAATACACTTAAATAGATATTTAAGACAACTCTGTACTAATGCCTACACTAAAGCTACCTCAAATAACAATAATAAGAATAAGGTTTTATATACGCCTATGGCCGGTATCGAATAGCAGTTAAATTTTGAGCTCCCGAAATAAATACAGTTAAAGCAAGAATTACATCTAATAAAATAATAAAAACGTGATACAGTTCTTATAGTGTTGTTTTGCAATAAGTTAGTGTAAAAAAAATAACTGAATCATGGTATTAACAAGAGAAACCCGCGAAGAAATTGAATTAGCGGTAAGCAAGGCTATTAAAAATGATTTGCTTATCAGTCAAATTGCAAAAAAAGTAACAGTAGCAATAATACAAACAATGGAAAATAAGCTGCTAAATATCGAAACTTCAGTGGCGGAACTAAAAGAGAATTATGGTAAAATGAATACAAAAATTGAAGATAAAACGAAATATTTACAAAATAAAATAAATATACTTAGTGGTGAGAGAGACGAAATGGAGTCTAAAATTGATCAAATGGACCAAGCTACTAGATCTTCTAACTTAAGGGTTTTCAGTATGAAAGAGACCTCCAAAGAAGATACCAGAAAAGTCCTAATAGAAACTTTAAATAAAAATATGTCTCTAAATCTCATCGAAAGTGATATTCTATTGTGCTACAGAATTGGGAAAAGTGAACAAAAGAAAAGTAGAGGTGTTTTTTTAAAATTAAAAGATCTGGAAACTAAGAAAATGATATATAGCAAGAAAAAACTACTAAAGGGCACAGGAATCGTCATAAGAGAGGACCTTACTAGCTTACGAGTGAATTTGTTAAACGAGGCCATCAGAATACAAGGGTTAAAAAATGTATGGACAGAACATGGCAAAATCTACGTAAACAAGGACAGTAAAGTATATATTATAAGGAACAGAAATGATTTTAATACTGTATTTACAGCTGAATGAATATTTACTATTAAACTAAAACCAAAATAAAAAAAAATAAAAAAAAAATTCCTTTGCACCATCTTGATTAAAAGCTTAAAATTAAATT